AGTGGATCCAGGAGAGCAGCTTCTGTGGTTTTGCAGAGTGTGGCTGGGGAGAAGAATTGAGTTCTTCCTATTTGGCGGTGGTGAGCTGCTAAGTTGGCCCACGCTACGCCCTGAAACTGCTTAAACATAAATAACCTGAAAGCTTTCTTCAGGCTCTATACAACCTGTGCTGGAACCCCCTGAGGGTTCTGGCACCCAAGGGTGTGTGTGATGGAGGGCAAAGAGACTAGGTAAGTCCAGACAAATGATTTTCCTGATTGCAGCCTTCCTAGGTTTCTTCAGAGTAGCGCTGATCACTCGAAGACTCTGCTCAGTCTACTTCATAATACAGCACAGCCTTTCTTGGCTCATGTCTGGGTTGTTTCTCAACTGCAAGAAAGTCATTCTGCACCTATTTCATCTGACTCGGTTTCTTTAAGGAGTTTATCACTGGTTTTGCTTTGTGGTCCAGTTGTTTAAGCACACTGAGGTTTCTTTATTGGTTGGTTTGCCAGGTACTGACTAAGCAAAAGAGTGGTTATTTTGGAGTTTGATCTGCTCAGGTCTGGCTAAGAGATGGATAGCAGATGTTAGTTCATTTTTGTCTTCCAAGGCATCAAAGAGTCACTTTCAGTTTTCAGATACCATCCTCCTTGCTGGTCCAGCGAGCTGCATGACAGCACTCTGGCCATCAATGCTAAAAAGTTGTTTTCCACCAAATTTTCTACATGTGTTGGAAGGCTGATAGAAGGAATCCTATCAGTACTCCTAGAGTAGGAAGTGGCTGTCCCTTGTGGAGCAGTGCCCTGGAGGATTTATGCTGTATCATTCCTTTGTACCTCACAGCAGCTGTTTGGCTGGATTTATTTTTGGATGGGGGGGATTGCGTGTTAGACAGTTTGAAGGAACTGAGTTAGTAATCAATCACATTTGTAACTCAGCTGGAAGCTCTCACACTGGGGAATGTGTCTACTGATTGTGTGATGAGAAAGCAAAGAGAGCAAAGCAGGGTAGGAGCAATCCTGCCTGAGCTGGATATCTCATGGCTTTGAAAAGATAGTTACCCCATCTGGAATGAGCAAGAAGGCTGCTTTGCCCTGAAAAATGATCAAGTTCTTCCTGTACCTAAGGCTCCTTTTGTACAGATGCACGTAGAGCTTCTGATAAAGTAAATAGTGTTGCAAGAACTGTGCAGGGCCATGGGGATTTACCCTTCTCTTTGCCTCTGTCGATACTAGTATCTTGCTGATGGCAGTCACATATAGGATCATAGAAACTCTACAGTTGGAAGGAACTCATAAAGATCATCGAACCAGCTCCCTGGTTCTCACAGGACTACCTAAAACTAAGCAACATGACTAAGAGCACTGTCTAGACACCCCTTGAACTCTGGCAGACTTGGTTCCATGACTGCTTTCCTGGGGAACCTGTTCCAGTGAATGACCATCCTCTCAGTGAAGAACCTTTTCCTAATGTCCAATCTGAACTTCCTTTGAAGCAGTTTCATTCCATCTCCTCATGTTCTATCTCTGGCCCCCAGAGAGAGATCAGCAGCTCCCTCTCTGCTACCCCCCTTGAGGAAGCTGTATACTGCTGTGAGGTCACTCACAGCCTTCTCCAAGCTGAGCAAGCCAAGTGACCTCAGTTGCTCCTCCTAAGTCTTGCCCTTGAGACCTTTCACCATCTTAGTTGCTCTCCTCTGGACACACTCTGATAGTCTGATGTCCTTATGTTGTGGTGCTCAAAACTGCACACAATATTCAAGGTGAGGCTGCATCAGAGCAGAGCAGAGTGGGACAATCCCCTCCCTCGACTGGCTGGCAATGCTTTGCCTGATGCCCCCCAGGACACAGTTGGCCCTCCTGGCTGCCGGGGCACTGCTGACTCATTCAAGTTGCCATCTACCCAAACCCCCATATCTCTTTCCGTGAAGCTGCTCTCCAGCCTCTCATCCCCCAGTTTGTACTGGTTGATCCTGTCCCACGTGAAGGATCCTGCACTTTTAGGGGAACCTGCATTGTTGCCCTCTAGTCAATACAGACCTTTCTTTAAGGCCTCTCTACCCTCAAAGGAGTCCACAGCTCCTCCAACTTAGTGCCATCAGCAAACTTACTTAATATACATTCAATTTCTATGTTTTATAAAAACATTGAAGAGATCTGACCCTAAGATTAAGCTCTGGAGAACCTCACAGGTGACTGACCACCAGCCTGATGTGATCACATTTACTACAACCCTTTGAGCTCAACCTATCAGCCAGTTGCTCACCCACCCATTGTACCAGGGACTTGTCTAGGTGTGCTGGACATTTTGTCTAGAAGAATATCAAAAGCTTTGCTAAAATCCCAAACCAGCACATCTACTGGCTTTCCTTGGTCGACTAGGTGGGTGTTGGAGTTGCAAAAGTGGGAGAGGAGAGGCAGGCAGCCATGCCTCCACAAAGAAAACATCTATGTGACAATAAAATTGGTAAATTTTCTTTAGGAAGATCCGTATCAGAAATGGATCAGCTTAGAAATTCTATCATAAAAGTCTGTGAGTAGAAAGAATCATTTCAAGAAGGATGTATCCTCTGCTTTAAGTAGGTGGTAGGAGCCTTTTTGCATTCCCATTGATTGTTTGATGTCATAATGGGGAGACATCTTTCAGTAATATTGCAATGTCTCTGTACTGAACCTTTAGATACATCCCCCATTCATGTTCTTTTATATACTCTATGTAATAATTCACTTTCAAATTGATGCCAATTAGGACTAAACTTCCAGCCTGGATATAGTGCTTTAAACCAGAGAAGAATGTCTTTGTGCTGCTGAAATCTAATTGTCCTTGTAGTGGGAAAATTCCTGGAAAATATTATAGAGCAGAACAATAAATTACTGTGGGGTGTACCTGGTAGCATTTTAGAACTGTAGCTTACAGAGGTGATATGTGTTTTTTACTGAATGCTGTCAATTTAATCATTCACTCTTTTGTACACCTTACCTTACCTTACCCAACAGTAAGCACAGTAACAGCACACAGCACCAAACAGTAAGTCAGATAGCACTTTTTGCCTTGAAGTTGTCCCACAAAAAGTGAGGGGCTGCTGCTGCTGTTTTCAATATGTAGAGTGGGACAGGTGCGGAAAGATGCCATTCTGAAAGGGGAAACGAGAATGTAAGAGAAATGGGAGGAGGAGGTAAAAGTCAGGCTGGAAGAGGCATGCTCCTAAAAGTATGCTGACTAGACAGAGCACCCTGCACATGCCCAATGTAGTTCATTTCCGAGGACACAGGGAGAAGGGAAGATCTCAGGCTAGTGGCTGTATCTTTTCACCAGTACGCACCATTAAGAAGAATAGATATAAGGTGTGATGCTGTTTAGTACAAGTTCCCTGAGTTGCTGCTGTTATAACCTCAGATAGGCTGGATTTGCAGACCTCCATTCTCCTTATCCTCTTACCAAGAATCTGCACAATAGGGAGAGTCTGGATTTCAAGCAACGTTGTTGACATCTGTTGATACTGTTCTCAGTTGCCTTCTTCTGTTTGCCACAAAGTGAAGTCTGGTCTCAGGATTCCCAGGCAATATTTTTCCCAGCTCTTTTTCATGTGGATGCATGATATGAGCACAACTGGATGTCTGGTGTCTTTCCTTGGCTTTCTTGTAAGCTGACTTCAGATCCTGGCTTTAGGTTCAGCCTTGCAGGGTATCCTAGCTCAGTAGTATGCTTGGTGGCAGCCTGGAAATATGCTCTCTGTAGTGTTTCTTCATGAGAGCTTTTAAAACCTATGTGCCTTTCCAGTGAACGGAAATGTTCAGGATGTCTCTGTAGTTCTACCTGTGAGCCTATAACAGGCAAGATTCATATTGGCCTAAGGTAATCCTTGCTGCAGAGTGCCAGTACTGATTTCCAAGTGTGCACAGCAATGCATGAATTCACTTTAGCTGTGCACCAACACTTCAGCAAAGAGACAACATCAGGGTGTTAAGACCCTCAAGTGGGGAAAAACCAAAGTAATCATGGAGGTTGGCCCCACAGGATAGAAGGCATCATTGAGTGATAGGTGGAAGATGGGTAGGATGCAGTACAAGTCCACTCAGGTGAATCCTAGCACATCCTAAATGACTACTCTGAAAGCTTGTGCTTCTGAGCAAGAATGTACAGTGCAGTTTTGGGCTACTGGTGTATACTAAGAACCAGTGACCTCAGCATCCAAAACTTGAGCTTATAACAAGATATACCACTTAAAACAGAGCAAATTTCTATACAAATTTTACTTTTCCTAGGCTTCATGGAAAAAAATTGAAATGAACAAATATCAAGTAAATAATCTTGAAATTATTGTAGTACTTCTAACTCCCTGATTAGTACCAATAGAAACTTCCAGTATAAAATTCAGCTGAAGAATTCTGCAACATGATTTCTTTCTGAAACATAATTTCTTCTCATTTTTATTTTACTTACTTTACTTATTATTTGAACTTATGCTATAGAGTGTTAAAGTTCCCATGTTCTGTTCTAATCTTTGCAGTCCACCAAAGAATTTGCTTGTGCTTTGACTGTATGGTGCCCCTCACAGAATTAATTTTGTAATATTATATTTTAATGATTTGGCCAGTTTTATAACTAGGACCTTGGAGAATAATCAGATAATATCTTTTATGCTAAAGTAGTAGCAAATATACTATAGCTCTGCCAGCAACACCCTTATTAGTATAAAAATATGTGTACATATATGTCAACATGCAAACATAAATCTCAGCATCAGCACGTGTTATGGAAGAGTGATCGCTGCACTAGCACTCATGTCAGGTTGTGACATTAAAAAGCAGGAAAATGAATTCAACAGAGATTCAGTTGTTTATGCTGTTGTTAAAGACATACTGTCAGCCTGATAGGTCCAGGGTTTGTGAATAGAGAGGCTTGGGAGTCCCTGCCTTTGAGGGCAGCATATGTTTTTGAGGTACTTTCTGTGTTTGTTTGGTTCTTTTTAAAGTTTGAATTGTAACAATTTTTAAATAACATATGTATTTCTCAAGGTCCGACAAGAATTAGTTGAAGAATATGAACAAGTTAAGGGCATTGTCAACACCTTAGAGAGTTTTAAAATGGACAGACCTCCAGACATCTCTGTATCCTGTCAAGATGAGCCTTTTAGAGATCCAGCTGTTTGGCCTCCTCCTGTTCCAGCTGAACACAGGTAATGAGAGGCTGAAGCAGAGTGGGTGGAATGAAGTTGGATCGCCATAACTTCATGTTCTGTTTTGAATGCTTTTGTAACATGAAAATCATATTTAATTTACCCCTTAGTCATTTGTAATAAAGAATAAATCTAATTCATTGGGAAAAAGGTATTTAAACTACAGTCAGATTTATGCTGGCATTCTAGAGTCACTCCTTTATTCTGGTAGGAGTGACTAAGTGCCTGGAACTAGAGTCTGCTGCAGAGGTTATTGGGATTTTGGTGACAGTTCTCATGTGCAGGAAGAAAACCTTTCCATTTCAGTTTATTTAAGCAGGTGAATTCATTGATGGCTGAGGAGTCTGTAAAGAGTTGGAACTTAAAGATCCTGAAGGACATAGTGGTTAGAAATCACTCCTTAGCTACAGATAGTATGACCTGTGTTTGATCCATTGGTTAGTTTAATTGCTAAACATGTTCTAGCATATATGGTATTTCTTCTCTGTAACCATATTTAAGGTAACTTCAGTTAGCCAATAGATTTCTTAAAATAGATGCTTGTGCATTTTCTGAAATCCCTATTTTTACCCTAATAGAGCTTGACACAGGTTGTTGGAAACAACAGATTCAGTTTACAGACAAGAATAACATTAATCATGCCAACATGTTTCTAACATAAGAGCAGAGAATTTTAATGTGTGCATACTCACATAAGCAAAGGAGCAAAATAAAATGAGTGATTTTGGTTAATGGAAAGAATTACCAAGTTTATTTATAGTTTTCTGTGCTTTATGATTATCAAACAGATCTTTGATTTTCAAAAAACCCTAAGAATGTAAGTGTAAAATATTAATGCTGATTACTTTTGTGAGTGGTAGAAATGGCTATCAGAATTTTTGTGGTAATGTTATGTAAAGTTCAAGATGTATTTATTTAATCTTGTATCTTTCTTAGATACAATATCGTTGTATCATTTCTTAGAGGTAGAGGTCCAATAGTTCATCTGCTTTTTTAAAGCTGAAATTTAAATCTTGAGCAAATAAGAAAGGAAAATTAGCCACTGTTCTATGCTGTTAAGTTTGAAGAAAATGCATACAAAGCAAAATGTTGCAGTTGTATGCAACAGTGTGTTTAAGAATGTACTATTTTTAAGCCATATTCCAGGAAAATGTTTTTGGAGTTAACAACTTTTGAGTTACTCAAAACAGGAGTTAGAACAAGATTTAATAGTGGACACTTACTAAATTTGGGTGACATTCCTGGCCATTTATTTTAGTTATGGCTTTCGAATCCAGTCCCTAGAGTAAAATGACTGGGATACCTTGTCTTAAAACCAAATTCTTTCTGCTTGTGCTACTGCTGAGTTCTCTTTGACATTGTGGGTGATGTACATAAATATAGGTGGTTGCAGTTGGGCTCTGTTTGCTTTTGCTTTCAAGGCAATTTTTATGTTTTGACATTTTCACCCAGGGGAATGGAGTCAGAGGTAGGAGGATTGTTTTAAAATCCTCACTCCTTTGTTTTGGGGCCTGTCAATGCTATTAGACAGCTTTTTTTTTTTTTTTTTTCCTTTTAGCAGGAAAGTCATCTGGTTGCGTAGAACTTGGGAACATGAATGTAGCCTAATACAGTCTCCTGGCTTGGAGTCAGCAGAAACTACAATTTCAAGACTTCTACTAAATTGTTTCCTCTTTTGTTACATGGGTGTTGGTTTGTTGTAAGATTGGTTAGGATTACTGATCAAATGGTGTTAGTTTTTCCTTTCATATTTTTTTCTTTGGATGTCAGACAGAACCAGAAATACATCGCTGGATTTGCATATATAGTGAGATGAGACTTAGGGACCTAGCAGCTCCAGTAATAATAGCCAAAGGAATTAATGAAATACTAGAATCCTTCCTTCTTAATGTTGCTCTCTTCTTCCTTTTTTTTTTTGCTGTTTTTAACATATTTTTGTTGTGTTTGCTTGTTAGGGCTCCACCTCAGATAAAACGTCCCAACCGAGAAGGAAAGTCTTTGAGGAAGGACTCCCCAGGACTGCAGCCACGTGGGCCCGCAGGCAGAGCACATGTGGTATCCAAGGGTGAGAAGTCTGCAGGCAGCCGTGAAAGGGAATCCAGAGCTAGAGGAAGAGACGACAAGGTAAGAGGTGGGAAAGAACTTGGCAAGGAAGCATTATGATGCAGCAGGTGGCAAAGAGAAGCACTCTTACTTTTAGTCATTTAATACAGATAATAATAAGAAACTACAATAATCCCATGCAGAAAAACTCAGTGCTTTCATTTTTCCCCATGATCAACGCATGTATCATGGGGATATATATTAATAATGACGCCAAATTAAGAAAAGTTCTGTCATGTTTGCTCTGTCTTGGTGTGAGTTTTTTTGATGGGGGGAAGCATAGTGTCCTGTTGCCGGGGGTTTGTCACCCTCTCGTTAGACCATGGGCTTGACTCTAATCTGTAAGTGTCATTTGGGCATAAAGTCCCTGCTCCTCCTTTTCCCCAACTTCAGGTCTTTTATAAACATATTTATCAAAAAAGTGCAAAAGTGAGGCCAGTGCCCTTCTCTAGAGTTTAAGCATTATGAATGGAGTTCCACAGTCTCATTGCCTCTGCCATACCATAGTAAAATTTAGGTGAGCCTAGAAGTCCAGGGCAGTTCTGTAAATGCATTGATGCTAGGTAAATCTGTACCACATGATTTTAAATTATATATTTGAAAATTATATGAGGGAGATGTACTAAAAGAAAACTCTTAGCAGCTTTCATTTTCTTTGGTTTATGAAAATGGTTTCGTATTTATTATAGTGTTTAGGAAGAAGCTTCTTGGAATGGCTTTGTTTTAAAATAAAAACAGTTAATTAGATTAGAGTAAGTTCGAGATTCTTTCTTCTGAAGATGCATGAAAAAGAAGCAGTGCTGAAGTGAAAGAAAAGGAGAAACAGTGATTCATTATGAAGTAGTGATGTCCAAGACAGGACTGTTTTTTGGCTGGAAAAAATGTTGGAGTCCAAATCACTGTTTCTGAGACACTTGTGTTTTTAAATTCAGCTATGGATTCAGTGCCAGGACTCTGTGGTATGAGCTATACAAGTTGAGAGTGTACTGAAGTAACATTACTTTCCTGACAGACAAAGTTACAAGACAGGCCTTCCTATGGGGGCATACAGCATTGTACAGGTCAGATGAATAAGAAAATATTTAGGCCAGTTTTCTTCCAAATTAATGTGGTTAGTCCCTTTGCAACCTTTCTATTACAGGTTGCTTCTTGACAGCACAAGTGAGATATGCTTTTTCCATCATGAATTGTTTTCTGATACACAGTAAAATTATTAAGTAATCCCAGCCCTTACCACCAGCAATAAGTAGGGCCAGGCCCATTTTCAGCAGTGCCTCTCTGAGTGACTGTACAGATTAAGCATTTTTGAAATCTCTCTACCACAGATCAGTAAGATGTAAAATAACAAGTGTGCATCCTACAAGCTATAAAAAACTTGTGAAGATCTGGGAAATTATTTAAAGTTTTGCCAGCTATATGGGGAATTGGAGTCATGGTGTGTGACAGGTTCACCAGTTGTGCTTGTGTAAGGCAGCCTTCAAAGTCTTAGCTCTAATGAGGGTGAACTCTGCTCACCAGGCTTTCCAGCGATGAACATTATAGGGCTTTACTATAAGGAGCCTACAACATGACTTGTATAATACTTATCTCTGGGAATAATATGATTAGCAACACTACTGCTGTGAGGTGGAGGAAGAGTCATAAAGGTGTTCCCTTTAATATGGCACATTTTGAACACTGCTCTTATCTGAATAAGTTGGTCACTAGGTGGCAGAAGTAAAATATGTCTTCTCAAAAAGTTCCGATACATGTGCTCTTGTATTCTCCTTTGTCTAGCTACTTGGTTATTTTACTTCCTTTGTCTGAAGTATGTAAGGGAAAATCACCCCACCTTACAAATTCTCATGTATTATATAATGATTCTTGTAAGGAATCCATGATTTGCCTTTGAAGAAAAGTCTGAATGAAAGAGGAAGTAGCTGGATGTGGGAAATGAAAGAAGTTAATGCGGCTTTCTATATTTTACACATAGGCTTGAAAATAAGTTTAACTTTCAGTTTTATCCTTTCTTAGTACAAGCGTTTGTTCTTCAGTTTCTGAATTTAAAGCATCAAGAAACTTACTTTGTAGCCTGGTATGTCGAATCAAAGAGATTTGGTAACTCTTCATGTTCAGTTAAAAATAATAGGGCAAAACTGAAGCTTCAAATTAAGTAACCAGGTATCTTGTCTCATACTAAATGTTTCAGTTCTGTAGGTTTTGGGTTTGGGTACATGGCTAGGACTACTTAGAACATGTAATGAGCTCTCCATTTCCTAAGACGTTGGCTGTGGTATAATAGGTTGTATGCTGTCCTGGCTATAATATCACAGTGTAATGCTTTTTTTTTTTCGGGGTATATATAGCTATAGCATGTACGTTTTAGAAGTGTTTTGCCTCACTTAAGGCAAATGCCTTCTTTCACTGTTTCTCCTCCTCAGACCATAACATCTTTTCATTCTGACGGTAACCATCTTGGTATAAGGAATTTTAACCTGACTATGCCAGTAAAATGACCTTTTGTAGTGCTATATAAAACAGTGTTGAACTACAATTCACCAGATGGTGTCTATCCACTAAACCCTTATATTTACTTGTCCTTTTTTCTTAAATACTTCTTTCAAGTGCTTCTTCCTTCTTAGTTCCACTGGAAATGATTAGGCTTCTTCTCAGGGTACCCTCTGCTGGAGCATTACCAAGAGTTTTAGCGTCTGTTTAGTAGTTCAGCTTAAAGAGACAGCATGAATGCTACCTGTATGTCTTCTAGAAATGTCACAATACCATATCTAAGTACTAGAACACTTTTTTAGGAGTACTCTTTAGATTATTTTAGATTGTCAGTGGATAAGGACAGTAAATATTGTGAAGGATATGAAATAGCCAAGGGCTGCACTGCCATATCAGTGAATATTAAAATCAAAGAAGGTAGGAATTAAAAAATTAATTTTTTTTGCTTGCTTATTCTCATGTGCATCATCAGAAGTGAGATGAGGTAGTTGCATTTATGTGGAAACATAGACCTCCATGCATTGGGACTGGAAGGCTGCATAATCTCCATCTGAAAACATTGAAAGAACTGGTAGGTGAAATTGCAGATTTACAGTAAAGTTTATTTGGTCTGCCCTTGTCTCGTGAATGGTGAGTTGTGTTGACAGTGCCTGTATTGAGAAGGGCAAAGGAAAAGTGATCCAGGCAGTTGGAGTTGTTAATTTTATCTAAACAGTGTACTAAGTTTTAGAACATTTGCAGAGGAGGCAAATGAGGCTGTTGTATTGGAAGAATTGGATGACTGTGTTGGAGTCATGGAAATGGGATAATGTTCAGCGGTGCAGAGCAGCAGGCTGTGTAGTTGGAGACTATAACAAGAATTTCTGCTAGAAGCTGGGAGCTCAGCCATAGAGGAAAAGAAAGACTTGAATATATCAGCAGAAATTGGATCAGGCTGAACCTCCGTTTGGCACATCACCTTTTCCTGTGGTGATGGGAAGGGCTGGCTGCTGGAGTGAGGAACAGCCAGGTGCCACCTTTGGCTTTGGCAGCAAGCAGTGGACAGTGCATCTGGCAGTTGTTCGGCATTTGTGTGTAGTGGGAAGAACCTGCAGGAAAGCAAGACATCTTCAGGGCCCAGTGCTGGTCATTGCAAATAACGTCAGAGTTTTCCTATGTGTTTGATCTGTCTGAGGTTGACTGTAAGGGTGTAGTATAATATTGCTATGGATATGAATGTAAACAAAATCCTAGGCCCAGTTTGTTGAGGTGTTACTAACAGAGAGAAGAGGTACCCACGACATTATAGGAGGCTCTGGTGAGACAACAGCTGGAGTATGTTGTGTACAGCCATGCTCAAGAAAGATGTGTTAACGTTAGAAGGAAGAGGAAATAAAGGGTTGCCCAAGTGAACAGGTAATTGTGTTCAGCTCATGTTCCAAAATGAGACTTAATTGGTTTAGTAAATTAAGGGAGAGCACATACTTGCACCCGTGATGCAAGTATTTCAAGGTGGTGGACACACTGAGAAGAGATCTGCTGAAACTAATGCACAAACTTAGTACAAGAGTAGAAATAACATCAATTTTGGAAATAAGGTTTTTGTTCCAGTGGGTTAGTGCAGGGCTGATAGCTCTTCCTGATGGAAAGCCCAGCAAATTTCTAAATATGTTTAAGACAGAATTGGTTGCCTGAGATTACGTGATGGGGTAATTGCCAAGGGGTTGGGTGGGAGTAGTCTTTTGCAGGCCTGTATACCTGTCTGTTGGCATACCTTGTTAGAGAGAGGCCATCACAGCAACTTTATTTAAAGCTGTTTTGGGAAAGTAATACCAGAAGAAGAGATGAGGATACGACTGAAAAAATTATGCTTGCTCCTGCTGCCTGGATTCAGGTGACATTTTTTTAAACATCATTATTTCTAGCCTGTGCTCACTTACCTGCTGACTGGGGATTGCAGATTGGACGGATTTGGGACCAGCATTAATAATCTTATTACACGTGAAAACTGCAATGACTTTAAATCTTGGTTTAATTCCGGAACTGGGAAAAAGAAAAAAAGGAACCAGTGTCACTACAATGACAGCCGAGGTGATGCTGAGAGCACTTCTCCCCGCTGGCCGCCCTTCTCCCGCCCTCCGCTGGCGAGACATGCCGCAAGGGCAGGAAAAACAGCGGTCGCTGGAGCAGCGCGTCCGCCGGGAGCGGGCAGCGGGGTGCGGGGATGGGACACGGAGGGGCTGGGACTGGCATCGGGGCCGGGGCCGGGACTGGGATCGGGGCCGTGCTGCCGCCCCGCGGCTGCGCCGGGACTGCCAGCGCCCTCCTGGCCCCGGGCCGGCCTTCCCCTTTTATTCCTGTTTTATTCTGCTGCCCGAGCTGCGTCACCGGCCCAGCGAAGGCGCGGGGCGCGATCTGCCGGCCGGGCCCCGGGCACGGGCTCGGGGACTTGAGATGCTCTCTCCGCCCCGGTGGGCTGTGCTGCAGCCAGCGCCCTGCCTGCTCGGCTCTGTAAATCCTGCCCTAACGCGGCTCACCCAGGGGGAAAAAAACCCCAAACGGCCAAAACAGGCAATTGTTTTTTGATGTGCAAAAAAATTCTACTAGGAAAACCAGTCCATTGCAGAGCAAGAGAAGTATGTAACAGACAGCAAATACCTTTCATTTCATTGTCCTGTTTTTTATCCTTTCTTTTTTTTTTAATGGTTACACTTAAATTCCATTTTATCTCTCCTTAAATCTTGCAAACTCTACAGGGCTTCTCTCTCCATTTCCTTTTTACACCCGACCATTACATTTTTTACATGAGCTTTTTGTTTAAACACAACTTTCAGCTTTGTTTCCATTGCAAAAAGCTGATCTAGGAGTACTGAACAACACAAGAGTTCACTTGGAAGCAAGAAATAAAAATAGTGGGAAGATAAACTACTCCCTCACAGTCACCATGGGCAAACGGCAACTGGGAGGGATATAATCGCTAACCTTTTTATTTTTCCACTGCGAGGTTATTTGTGTGTCTCCAGCTGCCTCTCAGCCCTCCTTCGCCTAGGATGCTTTTGTCCAGCCAGCTGGGATTCTTTAACTTGCTGCTGATAGTGTTTAGAAGCTGAGTTAAGAGTCCTAAAGTAGCTCTCTCCTCAGCCCCCTTCGTTAAAACAGCACAGCTGCTTTTCAGGCACCCCGAACACTGCCGTTGAGTTGGGATGGGAAAGCAATTATCTTTGGAACTGAGAGAGGAGGAGCATGAGCCCTAATGCTTCAAAGGGAAAATGTTACTTCACCTCCATAAGCTTAACAGCACAGTGGAAATATTAACCAGGAACTCTGGGCCATTTGGGGCAGACACGAAGTGTGGCTTGGTCACTGAATGAGCATGCTGCAGAAATTAGTGTAAGAAGTGACTTGGGAGCTTCTTTAGGGCTTTTGGAGCAGCCCTTAAGTAAAATGACCTTTTGAAAGCATTTTAACTGTTTATGGAGTTGGCCTTCAATTGAGAGGCAAGACATAGATAGTTTGTAGCTGAGGAAAAGAGATATTGCTGGGCAGGAGGGCTTTAATGAAGTGAGGGGACTGAATCTGTTTTCCTCTGTCGAAGACAATGGGTGTTAAAGTTTCCATGTTCCTTTTCAGTGATGAAGAGTGATGATCGTGCCAGTTTTTTAACTCTGGCTGGTAATGTGGCAAGTGCAGCATCGTCAAAATATGCTTTGGATGCTCTGGTCTTCAGCTAGGAATTAACGTAGCATTAAGTCGTGACACAGCCACCATTGTGAGGCTGTTCCTGCATTCATGCCTTCGGCTGGCTGGGAAGTGTGTCAGTTGTCTGAAGAGTGGTTTAGCACCATTAAGAGAGTCTGGTTTGTGCTTTAAAACCAGCAAACCTACCCACCATGATATGTAATGAGGTCTGATGGGGTTTTGTCACTATGAGCTGTATCTATGAAAGAAACATGATGCTGTTGTAGTGGTAGCAACCACAGGTGTTTGGGGACTCTTTGCAGAGCAGAGGTTGTGAACCCATTGGTTTTGATGGCCACAGTGGTGCTGAGATAGCTGTGTTCACAGAATCACAGAATGGGGCAGGTTGGAAGGGACCACAGTAGGTCATCTGGTCCAACCTCCCTTCTCAAACAGGGTTATCCTAGAGCGCAACATCCTAGTGCTAAAGCTTGATATTTTCCTGTGGCTTCTACAGAGATGAACTAGACAGTCTTGCTACTAAAGGATATGTTGAAAGAATAATGTATTCCTCTGTATGGCTTTCACTTCTAGGGAAAGAAAATATCCCAGGAATTTGGTGATGGGGAAATTCCAAAATTTGATGGAGCAGGCTATGACAAAGACCTGATCGAAGCTCTTGAAAGAGACATTGTATCAAGGAATCCAAGCATTCATTGGTATGAGGATTTTCTCGATTCAAGTGGGTTTGCTAGTATGGAAAATGAGAGAAAATAGCCATCTTTTAACTCTTACAACAGGGAGACAACATAGTCTTCTAAAGATAGGCAAAACAAGGTCTTTTGCTTAAACAGTTAATTAATTTAATTAATTAATTAAGTTAAGATTTTGTTGCTAATTGATAATATATGCAGTACATTCATTACAGGTACTGTTGAAATGAACATATGCTCCAGAGGTCTTTAAAGATACTGCTTTGGAGTTCACATTATCCAAAACAATTTTTAATTAAGCAGCTCTGGGTAACTTGAGTTGAAAAAAATTTTTTTCCTATCTTCCAAAAGTGGATTCAATTTTAGGTCACAGTACTATAGGAGTGCTCTCATGAGGCCTAAGTTTCATGCTGAAAGAGATGGTACTAAGTGAAAAGCTTTTCTATTTTTCTTGTATAAAAATAGAAGAAATATTGTTGCATGGGAATCTTATACAAGCTTCTTCATTTTGCACAGGGATGACATAGCAGATTTGGAAGAAGCCAAGAAATTGTTAAGAGAAGCTGTTGTTCTTCCAATGTGGATGCCTGATTTTTTCAAAGGGATCAGAAGACCTTGGAAGGTGGGAATTTATTTGGTGTTTTAGTGAATGGCAAGCTGTAGCTATGTATGTCTGCTGCTGTAACTTATGGATGCCTGTAACAAAAGGCTAAAAAGGTAAATGGGAAAGATCAAGAATTTGTTCAATAAATTGTCTCATAATGATTTGTGTAAAATGCACTGAAAGAAACACCTGGAAATGTATGTAGCCCTTACAGTAAACAATATTTTTTTTCCTGTATTTACTCAGTTATAGCTTGTTGACGTTATAATACTTTCTATATGTCAACCCGTATGTGTGAGCATGTAGGGCATATTGACTGAAGCAGAAATGCTTAATAGACAGCTCTACATAGGATTATGGTGACCAGCTGTTACCACTTCCCAGAAGAACTCAGTCCTTGGAGTGTTTTGTTCCAAATGTACCAAGTATCTCTTGATTAGACTGCAAACTACAGGCTGGATGGTTCAAGGAAGGAAAGAAAGAAGGGGATAATCTGTTGCTTTAGCTTTGCAGTTGCATTTGCAGCTGAGCATAGTTGCTGCTGGAGAGAGAGTCAGAGGAGGAGAATGAGTTACAAATCAGGCAACAGGAAGGATATAGGACTGAACTGGTCTAGGCTGCTGGACCACAAGTGAGCTCAGTCTGGGCCTTGCTTAGAGATAAAATGGAAGAGGAGGGAGGAGGCTGCTGAGCATTTCTGTAAAGAGCAAACAAAATTAGCTTACTTCTGATGTGGGATGGATTGACACTTGTTTGGAGAATAACTAGTCACCACTCAAGACCTTTTTGGTTACTGAGAAGGATTACTGGGGAAAAGAGACTGTTGCAAATTGTTATTCAGAGTCTGCAAGGCAGCGGCGTGTGTAGGGAATGCTGTGTGTGTGAGTAGTTTCTGTGGTTTCCTATGCTGGTTCAGCAGCATTTACTAACACTTCTCCTGTCTTTTCCTGATTGGTCTGTGTGCTTCCTTGGCTTATACTTATCTCAGACTCAGTAGGAGCTGGGACATTGCTGCTTGAGGGCTGTTCATGGAGGTTTTAGTGACTCGTAGGGAGGGAGCCCAAACCTAGAGTCAGTGCAAACCTAGTCCCAGGCTATAGGACCTTTGGAATTTAGAGTGCTTGTGGTCAGTATCAGTGGCCTTGAGGTTAACCTGTAGGTTTACTGGGCTCTCATCTTGGGCAGAGCCTAGGTATTGTGTATTACATGTGTAGGGTGAGATTTTAGTATATTTTGAATGGTTGAATCTCTCTCTTTTCTTCTTGACTTAGAGGAAGTTGATCCATACCCTTAATTATAGACTATGGGTGCCCCATCTGTCCACTCTTCAAAACCTTTTAGGGGAAAGAAGAGCTGCTATGCTTTTTTTTCCACCTCTTAGCGTGCTTAGAGGATGTAGTGGCCACCTGTCTTTAAGGCAGGTATCTCAGCAGACTGCAGGAAATGCGAAAAGTGCCACTGACCTTGTCTTCAGGTATTGTGGCAGTGGATAAAAGAACAACAGCCTGGTCTTTTAAAGAGTTACAATCTCTATTTCTGTGTGAGATTATCTTTTCCTACTGAGCAGTGTCACCTCTGAAAACCAGGTGATTGTAGACATGGAAAAAAAATCTAAGATTATTTCCTCTCTTCAGTCTGAAATGCAAATTTATTTCTGACAAGTCCATGAAGAATCTTCACTGTTAGCCTTTTCCCTGGTGACTTGTGAAGCTGTAACTCTCATGAATTTATTTTTCACAGAGAACAGCATGCATTTTCCCTACCGTTGACCTCTGACTGTGCTAGAAGGATGAGAAGTATTGAAGTGAAGGCTGTTTCTTGCAGTAATCAGTGTAGCAGCAGGCATTTGTTGAGCCTAGGAATTCAGGACAATAATTCAGGGGAAAAAGGCAGCCAAAGCTGGTTTTGGATGTTCAGACTCTCCTGAGAACAATTCCCAAGACAGCCCTCACAGTTTGTGCGTGTATTCAGAGGACGATGCCTGTCTGAAGGAGCCAGCTGTCTTCCCTGGTTCAACACAGGTGCTGTGTAGTTGTAGCCATGGGCTTCTGAGTGTCCATGGGTTTGCTCTTTCTTTTTCTTTGAACTGTTTGGAGCCAAGAAAGCCTGGTTGCTCGCTGTGCTTCCCACTGCTCTGCTAGTGATTGTTACAACAACAAGAAGTAACCCTGCAGTGATTTCATCAAAACACTTACTCCCTGCGGTGCATTTCAGCTTCTTATTGGAATACTTTGGATTAACAGAGCCTTAGAGGAAGAATAAAGAAGTCTTTGTGTTTGTCAAGGATTTTAAATAGTGAGTAAGTGGCAGCCTCCTAGTTTGCAGAGAGAACGAGCAACTTGATCCTATGCGTTTCTGTTTGCAGCCATGCATGTCTTGTTTTGCTGAGAACTCGAGTTCTTTTATTTTTTTTTTAACCGATATTTCTATTGTCTCTATCCCCAGGGAACTTGATTTTCCCCTGGCTTTACACTTGGTGTGGCTGCTTTGCACCTGTGTTACGCACATATGTAATGCCACCAGTATCTCGTGCAAGGTAACGCTCCCTGTAATACTTACACAGGAGGTGCAAAGCGACGGGCTTCAATTTTGGCAGTGAACAGCATGTGTAACTGAAGCCAGAATTTGACCTTCCATAATAATGGAGGACTGAAGCAATATCCAAAAAACGTCGTTAGTCCTCTGTACACCAGGTCCTGCAGTAAACACAGTTTGTCAAACACGTGGGTTGAGTGTGGTTTGAATTGAGTTGAAGCTTGTTTTAAAATATTAAAACACATTTGAAACTCAGAACAGTCAGTCATCTCTGACCTGCATATCACAGGCTGAGTTATTTTCACCCAGTCACTAAAGGTTGTATTTGCAATATTATTATAATGTCAGTATAACTGTGCAGCATCTCAAATCTGAGTGTCTGAATGTTCACAAGGAGGAAAAGTGTCCATTTACTTTTTATGCTTGCTGCTCTGGACCTTAGGAAACCTTGGGCAGCCTGAGGAATGGCACTGGACTGTTAGCTGTATAGATGGTGTGTGAACATTCCTAACTTAATTTACCGATGAATGCATGTTGAACTTGCATTAGCTAAGTGTTAAATGGCAATAAAGGTATTAACAGTTAATGGAAAATGGAGTACAGAGAGGCTATTGCTTTTGAATAGTACATTTTTGAATAATTGCATTCCCGGTTGATTTGTTTTTATAGATCTCTTCTGTGTTACTCTTTGTGCTTTTTGAAGTAAGTTTTTGTGAGGAACAGATGAAATCTAATTTGCTATATGGCTTGCATTTAACAGATATTTTATTGCTGTGGCATTTTATGTAAGTTATTAATTGCAAAGCACATTATGATGTGCAATTCTAACTCTAGCTAATTTGATTACCCTTGCAATACAGTACAATTTTAGGAAACTCTTGTTAACTTGTAATAAGGTCTTGCAGTTCAGAGGGAAAAAAAACAACCAAGCTGCTTGAGCACAATATTTTCACTGATTTACTTAAAATCACAGTGCCCTATTCTAATGCTGTGCAGACATAGAACTGTGTGTTGTCCTTCTCAAGCACTGCTGCTTGTTGGAAAGACTACCCATAAATATGGCTGTATTTAGAAATATTATCAAGAGTGACTAACCCATCTCAGTGCTACAGTCTTAACATGGGTTCTGAGAGCACTGTGTGTCTAGCCAAAAACCTGCTTGTGTAATGATGGGTAAATGTGCTGAGCTGCAGAGATGTGTGCTCCTTTCTCTTTCAGAGACCACAGATGGAATGACAGTCTGAGGACATGGATACCAACCTGGGACTTAACAACTGGAGTTCAGTTTTCTAGTTTAAAGCTTTCTGAATAATCACTGAAGTTCATATTTGGCTTTTGTGGGACTGAGCGATAGTCCACATGAGCCACAGTTGCTTATCTGTAAAATAGAAATAGCAGTGCAATCTAGTCATCCAACAGTGTGATGAGGATGGTGTTTAATCCAGGAATTGCTAAGATGCAGTAGTATGGCCATAGGAGTACTGAGATGGGGAGATTAAACAAGATAACAAACTGTTGTATTCAGTAAATGCTCTTGTGCATACTTAAATATAAAAATCAACCAGATTCATTGTCAGGATTTTTGGGGAAAATTTTTTTTCTGCAGAAAAATGCTCAACTGAGGGAACACAACTTATTGCAAAAGTATTTTGATTTCTGTGAAGTTTTCTTTGTGAAGGGACCTTTGTTCCAAAAAAAGAGTTTACTGTCTTCATCTGTCTGTGCAACCCCTCATGAGCTGGGAAAGGCCTAAGTTCAAGTCCAGGCTCTGTCTGATTCAGAGCAAGGCTGTAAATCTCTTGTCTGCTTCCTAGGTGCTAGGTGCATCAACAGTTACTGGGTTTTGTGGTTCTGACTCCAGTGAAGTGGTAAGAAGAAGTGACAGAACATTTCCACACTGTTCTTGAAAGCGGGATTCTTGCCTTTTGTCTTCCACTGATGATGATTATAATATTAAACAATTCAAATCCAGAACTTGGCTCAGATATTGAGATGTAGTAGTGTAGTGTACCAACAGCAAAGTTTCTCTATTTGTTTTTCATTACCTTTGATCTCACCTCTCAGGGTGTGCTGATGGTTGGTCCTCCTGGCACTGGCAAAACAATGCTAGCAAAAGCTGTTGCTACAGAATGTGGAACGACATTCTTCAATGTGTCTTCCTCTACACTGACATCTAAATACAGAGGCGAGTCTGAGAAGCTGGTCCGCCTCTTGTTTGAAATGGTATGTCCTCGATGATGTGATCTGGGGATCACTAAGGTGAGAAAGGGCATCACTCTTGGTTTCCTGCCCTTCCAGTAGCATGTTGGAAGCATGGAGTTCATTGAACTGACACCCCCTCAACCAATTAGGAAAACACAATCTCAGTGATTGCACAAATGGTATGTTGTTGAGAATTAAGAAGGAAGTGGTTCATTACCCATGTTGAGGATCGTGTTTTCCAGACTAAATATAGAGTTACAACCTTGACAGAAATTCAGTACTTATTCAGTGATGGGATAACAATCCTATAGAAAGTGGATTTGAAATTGGAAGGGATTTGGAACTGTTATTTTAGAAGCAATACATGTTTTAGTTCCCTTTCTGTTCTAAATGATGGTCACAAGGCTCTCAATGAAGCTGTGGGTGCAGTGGGTTATGTGAAGGACATGCTCATGTGGACCTATACTGAAGAGTCATTCACCTCTTTGGGATCCTCACTGCACTTCTGTAATACTCTCAATTAAAACCTCTATTGAGATCAGCTGAGCCCCAGCACAAAATGTGGACAAGAAAACTGCCTGTTTTGTGATTGTGTTCCTTTTCCTTTTTGCAAAACTATTTGCTGAGGAAAGCCAACCAACACTGCAAGACCCCTGACCCAGAGAGTACAATTTAAGGTGTATAAACTTCAGCATATGACAGATAATTTGTAAATCAGGATCTTGAATTCTTTTCTTGTGATAGACAGGGAAGATATGTATGTAGTATGTGTAGTGGGACTGGGTTGTGGTCTGATAAGGGCCTGTGCTTGCTGCTGCAGCCTTAATGGTGATGTTTTCATTTGAACAAAGGCACGGTTTTATGCTCCAACAACAATCTTCATTGATGAGATAGATTCCATCTGCAGCCGCAGAGGCACATCCGACGAACACGAGGCCAGTCGCAGAGTCAAGTCAGAGCTGCTTGTGCAAATGGACGGTAACAAGTCCTTACATCCAGGTTTGGGGCTGGGGTGCTGTTTCTTTACAGGTGGGAATGTAAGAACTTGAGCTATCTGGAAAACCTAGCTTAATGGATAGGGGAAAAATAAGGCAGAACTTGAGACCAGTGAATTTTTGGAGTGTTCGAAGGCAGATAACAGAGAAGGGTGTTATGCTTTTATTTTTTCTAAAATGGCTATTTTAATGGTGAATTGAAAACTCATATTAAAGAGAGACTCTAGGAGAAGCAGATAATGGAGATTTGTGCAGGTTAATGCAGGGACTTTATTTGTATTCGATTTAAACAAATTTCTTCCTTTTGCTAGAGCCTCCAACTGTGGAATCCCATGGTGAGATCTGATTTTGCTGTATTCTGTGGTGGCAGCTAATATGACCCTCTTAAGTCAGATTTAATACCTGTTTTATGCAGGTGCACACAACAGGGATGACCATCTGAGGAATACTGTATGGTGAAGAGGTTTGATAACCACCTTTATATTGCAACTATTGTTTAACTACTATTTAAAATGTTCTCAAATGTGCATGTTCATTTTGGTAACCTCAGGGTAAGAAACTTTATGCCCCAAAGTGGTAATTTCTTTGCAGTCCTCATTTGGTAAGCTGAGTAGTGATTCCTATTTCTTCTATAACCAGGTTTGACAGAGATAGCGCTGTCAGTGGGACTAACAGGGCTACACTCACATATGGCTGTGTTATTAGTAATGACAAAGAAAACCCTCCCGTGACTCAGCAGAAGGATGAAGTGTCCTTCTCTCTGTGATAATGATGGTCTTGTGTCACCTAAGCTGTGGGAAGTTTGGAAAGGAACACTAGGAAGTCTGGACAGGGACACTAAGACTATATGGAGCTGTTGCTTAGCTTTGTGGAGGCTTATACAATGTTTGTGCAGTGTTTCTCAGCAAGCATCTCAATCAATAAGAGTTTTGGAGTGAAATTGTTCTGATCTTTCAGGGGTAGGTGGTGCTCTGGAAAATGATGACCCTTCCAAGATGGTTATGGTATTATCTGCTACAAATTTTCCCTGGGATATTGACGAAGCTCTCCGACGGAGACTGGAGAAGAGGATTTATATACCTTTGCCCACAGGTATGTTTGATATGAACATTTTCCTTTCAAATGGTCTTTGCAAGACAAATTTAGGATTACTGCAGGACTGATGGGTTTGTGAGTAGTCTTGATGGCTTTGTGATGAGCAGTGAAATTCAGGGGATAATTGTTTGTCTGGGTTCCTTTATTTTTAAAGAGAGTGAGAGAAAGGAAAAAATACTACTTGCTTGGAGGCTTAAAAGCAAAGAGCTGCAGCATTTCATTGCATGTCATTGTTGGGTTCTTATATTTTGAAAAAGCGTTAGTTTTAATGAGCCTGGAATTATTTTAATGTTTAACAGTCAGTACTTGAGTGATCATCAAAGGCAGCCTTTGGAAATGTTCACAAATATTGCAAATGCACTCCGTGCCCTTGCAGACAAATGCGAAGAAGTGGATCCATGAATTTTCACTTACAGGCTTAGTTCATTGCAAATCACTGCTTGCTCACCTTTATTACTGTGCTTTGAGTCACTCAGAATGCAGCAGGCTGGCTGCTTTCCTGCCCTAAGACGTCTCGGCTTGTATTGTCTTTCCTAGCTGTCATTCACGTGTCCTATTAATTTTGAGATTCCTATCACTTGGAGTTTGCATAGCTTCTTTTCTTCTTGGTACAGTGAATGCCTCATCTCCGTGCATGAGCACTCAAGATAACAAGATGCCTGTTGGTAGTGACAGTGGTTCTGATTGAGTTTTGCAGGTCTAAGGACACTTAATAGTTGTAGAGCTTGTCTTTGCAGCTTACAGGCAGTAACAGCTCCTAACAGGATGCCTGTCTTTATGACCAATTAGTTTAAAATCCTATCAGCTCTTCCTCTTGTTTCTAATTAAACCAGATTGGTTTTTGACACAGTGTATCACACCCTGGACTACATAGGAGATGTGATCCGGTTTTATTTCCAATCTTAGGTTCTGTTGCATTCTATTCGTAAATAAGAATGTTGTGCTGTTCTGGGCAAGTCTGAATGATGCATTTATAACTGTGCTGTGTGATTTGACATGTTCAGGCATTTTAATTGAAAAAGTGATATGTCATAGATACACCTGTATATTGTGGAATTTTATGCAAGTATATATTCTGTAGTGTTTCATTATCACAATACTGCAAAGACTTGCTTAGCCCCACAGCAACAACTAGAAGAATGTTCTCTGATGCAGATATACCATATCTATATTGTGCTTTGTAAATAATAAATCCCCATTTTATAGTTAATGTCAGTTGTATGTGATGGATAACTCTATGCTCTGGACAGTTCTGCAAAGCACACAAACCCAGCAGCTTTAGACAAGGTTTCTGTTTTCTTTTATATTCCTCCCCTGCCCCAAAATAAACAAAAAAATAATTAGGGACATCAATAAATAAAACATAATGTCTTTTATTGGACATTTCCTTAAGACTTTTAGCCTTTCCTAATGCTACTTCTTCTGTTGCGGTTGTCCTTTTTTTCTAGGTCATAAAAATTGGTCACTTGGGGAATAAAGATGCTGAGCTGGCGTATTTTTTCTGTACAGTAAAAGCCAGGAAACCATTCGTCCTCTTCTTTTACCACCCTTGTGCAGAGTAACACTGAGGCCTAAGCTGTCAAATGTGAATTCCCTCTTATAAGCTTAGGCTGCTTAACATATGTACCCAAATGCACATATGCACATGCCTTCTGCAAGAAAAATGGCTAATTGGCTGCATAAATGCTTATTTACAGAGCTGGTTATCACTTTCTGCACACTGTGTCCGGGTGTGAAAGTGGGATACCAGGATATTTGTATTGTAAATATATGAATTTATGTTTACCGTATTAATGTATCTGTCTTCTGTTGGCCTTCAGCAGCTTTCTTGGGTCCCAACAGAGTAAAGTGCTTAAATATATGCTTAAATTTCAGCTTATTGTTAAGGAGTTTTGCTGTCTGAAGCTCTGTTAATAGAATCATTGTGGTTCTAATGAAACGGGGTGAATAATATGCAATTAAACCCTTGAACAGCAAGTGAATTCAAAGGGATATGAGAAGAAGCAGACATTTGTAGGATTGTTCTTTTGTGCCTCTGGGTAGTATGTAACCAAGTGCTTTATCACCTGAGACATAACAGACATTTTTAATGACATATGACTTTGTCAAATATCTCTAGACTATGCTGTTTTAATATACTTTGCTGTATTTGACTATACACTTTACTATGTCTTGTTCTCTCTCTTTTCTTTTCTTACATTGAACTCTTTTGTTTGTACTTTTCACTGAAAAATTTGTGTTTATGTCTTTTTTTAATGTAACTCTTGCAAGTTTTCAAACAAGTATTTTTATGTTCTAGCAAAAGGCAGAGCAGAACTACTTAAGATTAATCTTCGGGAAGTAGAACTGGATCCTGATATCAGCCTTGAAGAAATTGCTGAGAAAATTGAAGGCTATTCTGGTGCTGACATCACTAATGTTTGCAGGTATCTCATTCCCCTTAATTTGTAACTAAAACTGCATAGAAAGTCATCATTTGCATTGTATGATAAAAGGCAGTACTCGCTACAACTGAAGCCATGCTAACAGTGTCTGTTTTTGAGACCCAAATCTTTTTACTGGAACCATGTATTACTGTCACGTCGAGTCTGTGAAATGTGGTTTTCTTGGATCTGAAGAGAAAAAAATTATCTGAGCAAATCCGTGTTACTGTTGGCTGCATTTACTGTAGTTGTCTGCATTTGTTAATGTAGTGCAAAGCAGGTTTGGATTTTTATTTTTTTTAAATCCCATTGGTTTAAGAGCTGGAATTTTGTAAAGTAAAAAGCTCCTTTCACAGAATACTTCTCTGGGGCTGTATGTTTGGAAAGCCATCAGTGCAGCATAGTCTTGGTGACTGCCTGAATCTTCTAGGTGTGAGGGTGATACAGATAGTTTATAGCATTAGTATTTAATCCTGTTCCCATAATTTATTTAATTTTTGACAAATGAGTCTTTTCCGTTGAAGGATAGGTATTTGAAAAAAATTATCAGAAGGAAGTCTATGTCCCTTAAGAGCCCTCTCAAGAAAAACTAATCTGGTAACACCATGGCTCGGGAATTTTTTTTTCTTCCCCTGCTGCTTTTCTGAAAATGTGAAATCACTCCCTGGTTTTGAAAAGTTGGTGTGTGTCACGTAGTAATGAAATTACCTGTTCTCCCTAAGGCCTGTGTTATCCCTTGCTGGGAAAAACCTGGGGAAAGAGAAAATGTAATTTCAGACTGCCTGTGGGCCGTGGTGTGAGAAAATAAGCAGTGTTCTCCATGCCAGTGAGCCGCACTGGCAGCATCCGAGCTGGGGAGGAGTCGCAGAGCAGGCAGGGCATGAGAAGCCACAGACACCAACAGCCTCAGCACTGCAAGGGCAGGTGATGCTGTGTCTGATGCCTCCTGCTCCACCCTTCACAGATTCAGGTGCTATGGATGAGCAGGCAACCGAACTGGGCTGCACTCTGAACACTTGCTGACTGCAGGGAGAAGGTTGAAATCTAAAAGGAATGGGGTGTAAAAATTCAGACTACTTTAAAAAAAAAGTCTTTGAGTGCCGTTTGTCTCCCACCCTGCCCTTTCCTGCTCTGAAGTTGTAAAATTTCATCTCTATGAATCATTGTAAAAGGTTTTCAGTTTTATAGTTTTAATTATCTCTGCACATTTACCATATGGTTAAATGGGTTTTGGTGCCAATGCATTCTTTATGTTGAATTAATGTAGTGATCTGGGAACATGGAAGCTAAGAAAGATGTGAACCACATCTTCTGTGGTAAATAGATGCTGTCTTAAGCGTTCCTGCCAGTGGTTTCTAGCAAGAGAATACAATCAAAATTCATAGGCTTACAGCACATGCTGCTAGCAATTAGCTCCCATACGTTGTCCTGTATTTCCAGGGACGCATCTTTAATGGCAATGAGACGACGTATTAATGGCTTGACTCCAGAAGAGATTCGTGCACTTTCTAAAGAGGAGCTTCAGATGCCGGTAACCAAGGGGGACTTTGAGCTGGCTCTGAAGAAAATCTCCAAATCTGTTTCTGCTGCAGACCTGGAGAAGTATGAGAAATGGATGGCGGAGTTTGGATCTGCTTAATCTCAGTGACAGTTTTCCTTTGCTGGAGTTTTATGGCTTTTGTTGTTCTCACTAAATGAGTTAGAAATCTTTTTAAAGGTTTAATAAAAGGTCTGCCTCTGCCCTCATCCCACCCCCTTCTGGTGACAGGATCTTTTAAACTATTTGCCTTTAAAGGGAATGAATACAATAATGAGCTGATATTGTAAAATACATTTTATCTCTGAAATAGTTACATAAGACAAACAGGAAGGGAAAAATTATACTTGTGAGGGTAATCTTTTGATTTTTGAAATGAGGATTAGTGTTACTTAACTTCCTCATAGTCATCTTTCATGGCGGGAATCAATAAATCACCTGGGGGATGTGATTCCAGACAAACAAAAAAGGGCTCGCTGTACCCCCTGCTCTTAAGTGCTACATTGTTGTTGAGCTGCTTCTGCCTCCCTTGAATGTGGCATCCAAGTTACTATTCTCTCCTTCCGTGCTTGGATATTCAGAGCAAAGCCTGTGGATTAATTGGTATTACACAGAGGAAATGAGGATAAGTTTTCCATCAAGACATGGACTTGGCTCTCCTCTCTTGTACACCCGTTTGGAACTGATGTCACTTCGAACTGTATTAGTTTTACCTGTGATGACTTCTGGTGGAAATGAGAGGAAAAGAAAAAGGCATTGATTGCTCTCAGTCTAGTTTATACTTGATCTCTGAACATAGTTTGAACCTGTTTGACCAGTAGACACTTTGAAGTTTGACCAGTGAGCACTTTGACTTAGGTTATAACTTGCACTTCCATGCTTGTATATTATTCTGTGCTTTGTCTGTGTTATCTAAATGTGAATGTTATTATTGTTATTTTAATACTAAGAGTTTAATACAGTAAAGACACTAATTTCAAGGCTGTATTTAAAACTCGACTATCCTTAAAACACGTGGCTGTGAATTTCCACTTCTGATTAGGTATGAACTCTTTCCTACCTTTACCAGGCAATGGAACTTTTACCTATTTATGTTGTAGAACTGTTCATGCTTTAATTTTTTTAATGAAGATTTTTAAAAAATGTATAAATATTACTGATCTAGTAATATTTAGAAAATAATCTGTACGATCTCATTTATGTTTTTGTCTGGTTTTTCCCTTCCCTCATACAAGTGCAGGGATTAGAAGAGTTGAGTTATAAATTCTAGCATGAGAAATTGTCTCTGGAGTCCTGTCACACTGACTTATAAGAGCTTTTCACAGACTCAGACTGCAAGTCTGACATATGAAGGTTTCCTGTGGTAGGAATGTGAAGGAGTGGTCAAACGACCAAATTTACAGAGAAATATGCAAGCTCTCAAATTTTTGGTGAATTTGTGAGGTAGGCCTGAAGCATCTTGGTGGATGTGAATTGCTGTGCAGTTTGGTAGGTATTCTGCCCTTCAGCTCTCTGCTGAGACTCCTAGTGGCATAGACAGATGTGACAAACTGGAGTAAGAAACAGATAGCACCTCCTCTTGAATGGGAGTATATCTTTATTTGCGCCTTTTTGCTAGTTCTTGGAAGTTCCCAATAATATCATATACTCAGCACACTGGTCTCTTGGGTGATGACATGTAAACCACTAAGGCAAAAGCCTTAGATTACATACTTACCTATTTTGCTCAGGGAAGTGGTGGAATCACCATCCCTGGAAGTGTTTAAAAAACGTGTAGATGTGGCACTTGGGGACACGGTTTAGTGGTGAGCACGTCAGTGCTGGGTTAACGGTTGGACTCAATGATCTTAAAGGTCTTTTCCAACCTTTATGATTCTATGATTCCTCCCAAGGAATAACTGGACCTTTATAGAGAGAAAGCTTTGAAAGCATTGATATTGTCTGTCATTTCTTCCTTATTGAAGCTGTGGACTGAAGCAGTTACTCTTTGTTTGTTTGTTTTACTGCAGTAGAAATTAGTAAAGCTACACAAATCTTCTGTGGCCAAAGCCAGATTAGCACTACAGGGTCTCTCACTAGAGAGGCCATTGCTGCCCAAGGAGTTTAGTCCACACAATCAAGATGTGGAAGGGAGTAGACATGAATGCCAGTAATCAACCCTATTCAGCTGCCCAAGAGCAGTGCTGGGATTCAGCAGTTGCTGCTTAGTAGGGTGTAAATACAGGTTTGCTCAGTTTCACTGCAAGCAGCAGTGACCTTCCTACTGATGAAAGCACAGCCCCTGGGAAAAATGTTGGTCTTTAGCTTTTTGATGAACCTTCTACCTTAAGGCATTAAACTTCCCTCTTGGCTGTTAAGCAAAATTCACTGTACTGGGCATTCCCTTTAGTAGGAATTATTCAGGTGCTGCAGTCTTTTTCTCTAAAGGTCTTGGTTTCTACCCCAGATATGTTTTTACTTAACGGGTCCGTTCATCTTTTAGAGCTGCTGAACAGAAAATTGAAATTTTTCAGGCAGTAGATCTTTATGATGGTTGTGCCCCAGCATTATACCTATTACTTGGGTCCTGCTAGATCAGGCACCCCAGAAGGCCGAGACCATCCTTTCTCTGCCAAGACCTTCCAGGATAGGGATCTGGCCCTGTGTGCTGACCCTTACATCTTTACCAAGTCGTGCTGGCACACTCACCTAGGTGGGCTTGGAGACTGGGTTATTAACTCGAGGGGAACCAGCAGTGGGGTACAGCAAGGAGCAACTTGAGGAAGAAGGGCAGTCAATGGTGGCAGCAGCTCAAGGCCCAGAGGATGGGTCTATGATTCAGTGTAAGTCCAGTTCATGTCCCATTGGTGGAGACCCTTTGTGTAAGAATGTTGGATTCCTCAGAGAGCAATGTACGAGCGTATCACAGCCTGCTGCGACAAGGTGTTCGATCTGCATCTGTGTGGGGAGATCATGCGCACACGTGTGGATGCATATATATATATATATACACACAGTGAGTGGTGCTTCAGTAATTGTACCTAAATTACATTAAAAAAATGTTTTAAAGCTGTATTTACATGTTTTCTAAACACCTGTGAAGGCCCTCTTGGGTGGCACTGTTAATTTTTGTACAATATGCAGTCTGCTTGTATGAAGTAATAAATGTACGTACAGAGTCTGTCTGTCTTACTTGAGTGGGGCTATGAGTGCTTTGGTGATAACTGTTTCCAAATGCTGCCATACAATGCAGATCTCTTCAGCATGTCATGGTGCTGTTGGACTCACTGAAGTCCTGGATGGAGAGCAGTTAAAGCAGAGTCTGGGTTTTTTGGATAATGCTGGCAGCAATGCTTTCTCTCTTAAATTGGCCTTTTGTTGCCACAAATTTTAAAATGGAGAATGCTCCAATGCCCAGCACATGCAAGCAGGGTGGGGGAGAGGGGAGCAGAGGCCCCAGCAGATGCTCAATGTTAGCACCTGATTCAGACCTCCCAGAGCCAGGCAGGCTTTTTTACAACTTGCCCCTGGGCTGGAAGTATAATCAGTCTCCAGAGAAGCTGTATCATCAGCTGCCTGCTAACCAGGAGAGTTTCAAGACCAAAACTTCTATTAGGAAGAAGCTTTCAAACTTGGAAAGAGATCCCGCATCTCCTAGGACTGAGTTGGTTATTCGAATTTTCTCACTAACTTCCTTATGAAAGAACGTGTAGTTTCCAGTGTTTCATAATGCCTCAAACATGAAAGAGCGAGCAAGGGAAATGCTGATCGGGGGATTTCAGGAGGGGTTAAATCTTTGCATAGAAAGTTCAGCTCACCCCAGTTTAAAAGAGACTGAAATAGCAAAGGTGCACTGACTTGTTCTGATCGCGGAAAAGATGAAAGAGCTTGTGTGCTGTAAAGAAGTCCTTCATCAAATGAGCGAAGACTTCACGATACAATCCAGGCATGAGAAGGTGGAAGCAGCAGAAAAAATAGTTAATTATTTTTATTCTGTTGTCGGAATAAGCCACCCTGAGTCAGATTGGAGATTGAGATTGTTTTCAGATCTGTAGTGACAGATAAGTACCTGATGAACATACAGGTGACACCGTGCTGCTGGGGAGAAAGCAGGGAGCCTGAGAGTGCCAGAGCTACATGCTGGTGTATAGTGAGTGTCAGCACCGTGGTGGCAGCAGAGCCTACTCTGTGTGCCCACCCAGCAGCGCTGTAGGTGCAGAGTGGAGCCAAGCCAGCTCAGTAGCCCTCTGATAGAATAAAGCAGACTGTGTAAAGCCACCCATGCTGGTGATAGCAAAGGCAGAGAGATGCTGCATTTCAGAGAAGGTGGCACACATTTTCTTTGCCTGTTCACATTAAGTGTTTCATGAGAGCACTGTGTGAATGCTTGGATGTGGCTGTGGATGCCTCAGTCACCTATGTTCAAAGCCTAGCTGCCATACAAGCCATGGCTAACTGAGCTGCAGCAGCAAGTGATGCTCATGTATCCCACAGTACAGGGACGTGGGACCCTCTCCGCCTTCTAAGCCAGTCTGGTTTTGTACTCTGCTTGTGACCTGTTCTTGTGACCCACTTACCTCATACACGGCAGCTCAGTACTTCTAACAGAGGAGCTTCTTTTGTGCAGCACAGAGATGTCTTTTGATCAGCTAAAGCACCGTGCTTCTGCACATCTGCACCTAGATGTCTTGGAAAGATTCAGGCAATTTTCCTCTTCTTTAGAAAGCCCCAACTAGCGCTAAAAGCAGGTGGGATGAAATGTCTTGGCTAGGTTGGTTTCCAAATGCAAGAAAACTTACCTCAACAGACAAGGAGGTGCCACATGGAAAGTTCTGCCTTTGTTACGAAGTGGCAAAGTATGGGTACATTCCCATTCCTACTGCACAGGCAGACTTAGGGTTGTGTTGTGTCCAAGCTCTGTTTTCTGTCTTTTGTGTATTTGTGATTTCTTTATTGTAGTAGGAACATTTTTCTCTGAGTTAGGGGGAAGCCGTGGAGTAATTTGTTCAATATCTGGGTTGGGATTTTGGAGATCCCATGATTGGGTTGGTACCTGAGGATGCTGGATCCCATGATTGGGTTGGTACTTGAAGATGCTGGGCCCATTCCCAGCATGCTTACTTTTGGAGAAAAGCATCATGCATTCTGCCTGACTGTCTGGCTGTACAGTAAGCAGTGTAGCTTTGTGAAAAGTCACTTAAATATAATATTTAGAATATTCATTTGACAAAGAGAGAAATTCTTACTGCCAGTTTGCAACTGTGTTGCTCTCATTTATAAGCAGCCCTTGCATATGTTGTTCAACTGATGTAAAAGAAACTGTCTTGGAAGTAAGAGTTTTTTGAACTTGACTTTGGAGGGAAAGAAAGGTAGGAAAATATTTGCCTAGAGGAAGATACCAGAGTACCCAAGACACTGAGAGCTGAAATTTCTTCTTTTTGTGGCTTTCCTTTTTGTCTAGCAATTGCACTGCTGGGTTGCGCTTTCTGGTTCCAATTTGTTTTGAAATAATTACCATTGTTTATCCATCTCTCAGACAGCCTTTGCAGATGATTCGGTTCCACAGAGCCCTCTTTTGCTTAGCGGTTGGTATTCATGCACAGCATGTTGTGTGACATCTAATTGAATGGGCTGATGTCATTAGATCTTCCTTGTGAAGTAAAGGTCACCCAAATGGTGAAGGTGAGAGGAACTGCACTGAATACCAATTGGACTTGCAGTAACAGAATTCATAGCAACTCTACACAGAGCTTATAAATACAACCAAGAAGAAAAAGGGAGTAACCTTAGGGAGATGCTGACGACATTGCAATGTGCATGTTGATAGAAATGGGGGTCTTTGCATCTTCTATGTAAGAGGGTGGAAGTGGCTTGCTGAACAAAGGAAGCCAACTGCAGGCACTGCCAACAGGTTTCATTACCCAGCCTTGCTGCTTAAAAACATCGTAATGTGCAAGACTGGTTTGTTACTGCTGCTCCAAAAGCTGCCTTTTGGAGGATCAATTTGGACTTCGTAATAGCTTGCTGCCTAAGTTGAAATGTCTTCAAACTTTGGCATGTGCTGGGACTGGAGCGTGTTTGGAGGGCTAGAAGAATAAGGGAATGTTAATAGTGGTGTGTTTCTGTAGGGTCCTGGGGCTTTGTTGTGGTGGGTACCAATTGGGTGTGCAAGAAGAGATGCTGCAAATGCTTATGGGGAGTGAGATGGTAGAAAGATGAGGAGAGAGGTGGAAGGTTGTGGAGTCAGTGGAGGAGACAAAACTGGTCCTCTGACTCCCAGTTCCT